TCAATATATTGCGATTATGCGAAAACCAAACATCACAGATAATCAGCTTACTTGAGCTAAGCCAAAAAAAGTACATCGCATATCACCACTCCTGATAAACAATACTCGCTCAGACCTTAGTCAACTGCTTACAGCACCTCAAAAAAATCATTGCTAAAACCGCTGGTATGCGGAAGGACATGCTCCTGTGAAATCATCAGCTGTTTACTAGCATTCTCAATTCAGTCAAAACTGAACATATACAGTCAGAAAACCAGGCTTAGCACCCTTACAAACACCTCGTATCACAATAAACCACATCAAACTAAACTAAAATGGAACTTCTCCACTGAATATTCGCCTTCTAGCTATTTCCTCTTCAGCAATTTCAGGTTCTTCTTCTGTTTCCGAATCAGAAGTTAGACTAACATATGAGCCTCTTCGCCGCCATTGCAACTCACGATAAAGTAGCGGAGTTAGACACGCTGTGGTACATATGATCTACAACAGATTTTGTAAATTGACAACATATAGCGAGGTAATGAGTTCTGACCATGACTATGAATCCGTAGAAAACGAACTCCCATCCAAATACTGCTTGAATCGATGGTATCAAAACCTGACCCAGAGCAGCTCCAAAGCTTCCAGTCCCTAGAAAACGTAAGACTGTGGTATTGCAAAGTCCTTTTACTGAGAAAAGTGGGACAAGGAACGTTAACCTACAAATAAATACATGATTTAGATTGTACGTGACTACAAAAGAGAATAGCCAGTTCTTTATAGCCCTAAACAACGTCGGATGCATCTTTCATGAAGATAGATAAACTTGACCTGATTAATAATGTCAACAAGTGAAACACTACGAAAAGTTTGTCAACTAACCATAAAATTTGTGCGAGATCATCGTGATCTTTTGGTGAATTTCAAGTCATTGGTTTGAACAAAATTTGGTTAACGAGTATAACTAACTAACCATCCACAATCCCCGTCACTGTCGACAACGCCTCTGCATTGCCTCGAAGTTCGCGAGCTCTACCTGGAAATGGAAACAGTTATTTTTTTGAAAATGTAGTCAAGTGCATGGAACGTTAAAAATGTACATACCTAAATCTGCAGATACAGAGCTCGATATCATATTTGCTGGGCCGCCAATGAAGAATCCAGCAATAGTGAGTAAGATTGCATTTATAACCATCGATGAAGGAGATGCTGAGATATAGCGCTAAGATTCTTAGATGCAGTAATTGAAGAAGCTAAACGTACCTGAATATGCCCAAAGCGAAAAGGTTGAGCAAACCAACATGGCGACGACAATGGGAGTGCGGGAAGTAAAGTGATCCTAGATTAAAAAAAGAACATTTTGAAGATGCTGTGATTTTTGTCATCCTGCAACTCACAGATATGGCTCCAGCTATTATAGCAGCTACTATGCCTCCAACGTCATACCACGCTGATAACGCGTCCGCGTCAGATTCGCTCCATCCAAAATTCGAATGGAGATAGTAAGGAAGCCAGAAGAAAAAGCCATAGTTGACTAATTTAAGGCATGCGTAGGCAAGAGAGTACTAGAAAAAGTTCAAATTTTAGATTATGAGGCAATCCAAACAGCAACATAACCATCAAGGAAGTATGGTTAGCTTCGCGTTCGAGTTTGTACCGTGATAAACATGATTTTATGGGTTGAACAGACCTAGCTATGTTCTATCCTGTCCTTCCCCATGCGAAATTTTAGACCTCAAACAATATTTCTAAGTGTATGGCTTCAAACAAGGAGTAAAAATCAATGATAATGATTAAACGAAATCCACAAAATGTGTTCGAAATCTAATTTAGGAAAAAAGCCAGCTTTCTTCACATAAATTCATCTACTCCGACATACAATTTAATTTTTAGAAAAAATTGCTAGACATGCAACAGAAAAAAAAAACTGAAGAACTAGATAAGACGCACCGATATAACTCCAGGTAAAAGCCATGCTCTCCAGAAATTGATAGGTACAGGGCGTTGAGTAGGCTCTTCTATGACACGATTTTGTTCGTCTGGGGATTCGATAGGATCAGGTAGACCTGGAACAAAAAGTAATTTGCTAGCACAGAAGATGAGCAAATACACAATAACCCGTGGAAATTGAATACCCACCAACATCTCTAGGGGCTGATTTTAGGTTGAAAAAGACAACAAATCCAAACAAAAATAGCAGAATAGAGTTGACAGCGAAAGCATACTGTAACATAATGAGATAGATGGAGGAGATTTATACGTAGAAAGATTAGGATACCTGATAGCCCATTAAGACCAATCTTGAAGAGATCATTGTACCGATGATAT